GAAGGGACGGAAGGGCCCTGGGCGCGATATGGTTCATGGGGTCACAAAGAGTTGGACACGACTTAATGACTGAACAAAAAATTGTACTATGTACTTCTGCCCAATACTAACTGTGGGAGTGGACTAGGAGTGTCAGAATGACAAAAGCTTCATGACAGTGTTGCAACATAAGCCCCGCCCCTTTTCTATCTGCATCGTCACATTGCATGCATGCTCCAAAGTTGCAATGCCCCAACAGTGAGATTCCATGGACATTTCTGACATCGTAATTATAAAAATGTATTAAAATCTGCAAGCTGTAGATGTATCTGGTACACCTACAGCTTGCAGTAGTCCATCCCTTAGGATTTTATCTTGACTCACTTTTCTTTTCCCTAAATAGGTCCATGGCAAAGTAAGAATAATAAGCTTGTAAATTGCAGTTGTGGTCAGTAATCTAGGCAGATCAATACACATATGGTGTAGCCGTAGGATGCCTGTTTATGCAGCCATATTTTCATCCTTTAATCATTCAATCCTAAATTTAAGATATGAATTTCACCCTCTGAGAAGCATGGTATTTAAGATGATACTGATCAAAATGAAAGTAGCATCTCTAATGATTAATGAATGGAGGGTGATTATCAGTTGATCCTGCTGTGACTGATTAATGGATATTCCTGTGTCTGAACATGCATATGAGGACACAGAACAGTATTTTAAATGTGTTGGTCTAAATGATTAATGGGTTGCACTGCTTCTAAATCATTAACTACCCAATGTTGCATCCTTGAGAATTCCCAACCAATGTGGGGAAAGCTTCTTTATATCTGGGCAGAACTATTTCAAAATCTGCTATCGGGGTTCCTGAAGCTCGGTTTCTGCTATGTACACTAGTCTAAATGGGATGATTTCAGTTATTTGGCACTCCCATAAAGTTCTCTGACAAAAATTAGTATTGATACACTGTCTTCATCAGTAGTAATGCAGTGGCATAAATCCAGCTAGTTCATCCTTAACCAAATATTGGTCTGTAAAGGTATATTCTGCTGCCTAGTAAATCCAGTGACAAAACCTCTTTGATCTGAATGGCTTTGAACATTGCCTGTTATCACCATGGATGCAATCCATAGTATCAGCCAACCTTCAAGCTATTTATCTCAAGTTCCCAATAGTCCATTAAACATCAATTGGACAATCAGAATAAGTGGCTTTTAGGATGCAGGTATCCGTCTTATTACCATCAGGAGTTCTGGCTCCAATCCTAAACACTTTCCTTGCCCCCCTGTATTTAGCAGGGTTTACGACCAAATCAATATCTTTGGTATCTGGTTGCAAATCAGCTTGGAAGTAACTTCAGCTTAAGTGGCAGCCCATTTCCTATTGAAATCCCAAATCTAATGCATGTTTCAGGCAACGAATATCACTACTTGAGGACCTGCCAGTATATTGACTTTGGGATAATTGCTTTCAAAAGATCAAGCATCAAATCAAATTGCTTCAATGTGCAGCAAACAATATTCCCATCTGTAGTGTTTTATGGCTTTTAATCCATTTCTGACCTGAAGAGCTGAAGCTTGTTTGGCGTACATTTCCCTGCTTATATATTTTGTTCCCACAAGGTGACTATATTGTTTTCTGCAAAATCCAATTTGTATCTGATATTTTCTCCGGTCCATTGAAATGCTAATTCATCAGATATTATTTGTAACAACATTTCAAGAGATTGGCCCAAGGTTTTGTTCTGTATCTGAGGGTTTAAAAGGGAGACATTTCCCCCTCCTCCCCCAAGGCACAGTCTGATATTGTCAATGTTTTGAAAGAAGAGTTTCAGGTAATATTTCCCTGTCTGATTTAGGGAGTTTCAGAATTATATCACAGTTAGGACAGTGAAAGGAGGTAAAGTTGGCTCAAATATGAAAAATATGAATGAGTATTCAAACTTAATATACCACTGAGTATAAGTATTCTCTTTTGTACGATGAATCATAGCCATCTGGGGGTCCATATCTGGATTTTCTACCTGCCCAACATACAGATTTTTTATATTTGTCCCTTTCCTTTCCTTTCCCAAAAAAGTGACTCTTTAAAG